TATAATTAATATTTAATTTTATGTTTATTTTTGTTTCTGTTTAATTTTTGAACATAGGGAGTAATTTATTCCCAGACTGCAATGAACAACTACAGTGATTTGGGACAAGACCTTTTTGAAGGGTACTTTAAGAATATCCCAGCTAAACGACTTGGTGTTCCTGAGGAGGTAATGTATATTTCTAGCACTGATTGGAATTACTATGCTTTATACTTTGGAAATTTGTAACATTCAGTGTCCTTTTCATGTGGTGTAGCTGGCTAATAGAGATTATTTTTCTCACTGCCACCAAACCGTTTCTCCTGTTCTTTCTGGCTCTCAGGAACATCCTGGTTGTGCTTTGACTACTGAGAGCAATCTTTAATTAGGAGTGAATGTAGTGTGAATTAACAATAGCATGTTTTTGTTGTTTCATTGTACTTTTCAGCTACATTATTTTATTATATGGCATTTGTTGGTACATAGGGCCCTAAGCAAGTCAGACAATTAAGAAAGTTTCATTTGAAATTTCAGTAAGGAGATTTCAGGAAGATTGAAGTCCATAAAAATCAATAGCTTTCCAAAATGTCAGCAATATCAGTCTTAAAAAGTAATTTTTTTAAAAAAGGGATATCTTTTCCTCAATAATGAAAACTAAAATACCCAGCAGTAAACTTAGCCCTAAATAAAAAAGGAAATCACCTTCCTCCTTAGTGCGGTAGGCAGTGTGTCGGTTTCATAAATGGAAAAGAAAACAAAAACTTTTTTACTGAAGAATGGAAGAAAGACCAATATAAATAGAAACATATTATATTCCTCAATTTCAGTTTTCTTGAAATTCAGGTTTACCCCATAAAAATTCTAGAAGAAAATGTAGGAAAAACTCTTCTGGACATTAGCCTAAGCAAAGAATTTATGACTAAAATCTCAAAAGCAAATACAGGAACAGCAAAAATAAATAAATGGGACTTGATTAAACTAAAAAGTTTCTACACAGCAAAGGAAATAATCAATAGGGTAAATAG